ATGAATTCTTGGGATTTTCAGAATTTTCAGAATTCGTACTACGTCTAGAGCCGCAGTATTATCCGAGGTGGTAATTTTCCCCTTTACATCATTCAATTTTTATATTAAAATTCCATACTCATAAAAAGTTCTGTCTATGATAACCCTATGTTTGTGAAACAAAATATCTATAGCTTTTTAAACCAAAAATATACACAAAGCATTTCTTTATAGAATTATAAAAAAACTGACTATTAATTTTTTTTGTAAGGCTGAAAATCTTCGCACAAAGTTGAAGTGTCCTAACCTCTGTAATATGTATAGATCTACTCAGTTCATGACAACTATTCCCCCAAGGGCCCAGTTTAGTTTCTACCAACTCACACAACTCACATTTTCTACAAATATCAAGTCTGTAAAAAAGTTAAACTATTTCTACAATAGTGTTTAAACTCACTTTACCAGTAGCCCTTTCAAAGATTTTACCTTGTGTAATGTTAAAAAACTGCAAATTGCCTGGCTAGTTATAATATAGATTTTACAATGCAACATATGAGACAGTGTTTTCAAAAAGCTTATTAATTATCATAGAATTTACAAAGTGTATTAATGAATAAAAGCCAACAACTGATTCACTAACTACGTTGATATGAATTAGACTTAGAGTTGGTCGTTTAGAACTAGCATTGATTTAGAAGATCTTTATATTTGCTGGCAACTAGTTTTACTGATAAGACTGTAAATAACCTTAACTAGTTTTAAAACAGAACAAGACTGAAGATATAGGTACAAGAGTATGAAGAATAACGTGAAAGATCTAATTGAAGACACGAATAGATTTGGTCTAAATACTATAGTGTTTTGTATTAGCCAAGAGTTTGCTAGTAGTGTTTTTAGCTAAGTATTTTTTAATTTATTATTTTTTTATTCTCAATATGGCAATTTATTACAGTATTACTTTTAATGTGGCAGAATCTAAACAACTGGGACCAGAAATGACAGTAATTGATAGATTTAAGTTTGTTAGGGCATAATATTTCTATTCAAGGTTTCGAAGTCTCTGAATTCAAGTTGGTTTATTATAGTAATCCTTTAATCGCTTATATTTTTTTGTTACATGAAATAAATGACCGATAAATTTTATTTTTATACTTTTTTATTGTCGAGTTATGAAATTCAACAAATTCAAAAAATTGAAACTTTAAGAAATTGAATCGTTATATTATGCCGATTGTATAATATTTCTGTGGTTACTTAACTTTCACAATGGTAATAACAATAGTGATAATTAACAATGGCAATAATTGACAATGGCTATAATTGACAATAGTAAAATTGACAAAAGCAAATAGATAAAGGCGTAGTAGTAGAATAAAAAAGACAAAAGTATAATAGTAGAATAGAAAAAGACAAAGATATAGTAGTAGAATAGAAAAATGTATTAAATATATTTATATTAAATAAAGGTTTTAAATTAAAGAATATTACAAAAATATATTTGTTTATTTTTTGATTAAAATTTGTTATTTGCTAGTTAATAATCCCTTTCTTTGATAAAGAATGTTTAGCTCGAGAAACTCTTTACATTGAAAAACTGTTTCAACATAATCCCCTACTTGTATTCAGATATAGATTTATGTTTAGAAACTTATTTTACTTTGGTAAAACTGTTTTGAGATTTAGAAATAAGATTCATCTAAAACTGATGTGGTTGCACAATCATTTGTTTAAACCTATTTTTCTTTGAAGTTTCCTGAAACCTTGATAGAATCATTGTAATTTTTTGTTCTTTGTAATGAATTAAATATGTAATTAGTAAAAATCATATGTAAATATGAAATAATGCTAGAAAACATATAAGAAAATAAAAGATATAAATATGTCTCATCGCCCAAAGCATCATTTTTGTCAAAAACATAAACTCTTAATTTCTTTATAAAAACATAATTCTCATCATTTAACCTACAATACTTTGCATAAAAATATAATTGTCTGCTAAAATAATATTTTTAAAACAATGTCTGAATCTAAATTCACTTACATGGAGGAATGTAATACTTCCAAAGAAAGCTATAAAGAAGATACTTTTATCATCAACCAAATTCTTGAAGGTACTCAAATCATACTAAGTGATAATGATGAAATGGATATTCCTAAAGAAAGTTACGAAGTTAACCTTGAAAGTGCTCAAATTATGCTAAATGATAGTAATAAAATGGATACTCTCGAAGAAAATTATGAAGATGTTTTCACCGTCAACCAAGTTACTCTTGAAAATGCTCAAATCATGCTAAATTATGATGATGAAATGGAAGATTTTAACTGGGATGAAAATGAAAATTCAAGCATTTACAGTGAGTTCTCTTTGACAATATCAGATGAAATAGAAATAGATATAGAAATTGAAGATACTCCTATAAATAGTTCAAGTTTAATGCCATATGCAGTTGTAGATCTTATTAAAGGCAAGATAAAATGCTGCAATAGTACAAAAAATCTACAACAGCTTCGACAAATAGTAGGGATACAGGAAATTAATATACATGCAATTAAAAAAGTTCAAGCAATAACCTGATAAATTTGCAGTGATTTAGACAAATAGCAGGGACATGGGAAGGAGACACAAATGCACTTACTTAGCTTAGTGTATGCTATACTTATTTTATTTTTGATCAGAATTAGCTTCATGATATTGGCATGAAGAAATCATAATCAGTTAAGAAAAGTATCCTTCATTTTCACATCTGTCTTTTTTGTAGAAAGAAAAAATGTTTTTTTAGTCAAAAGGATAACTATGAAAAGCATTTATGAAATGTCAATAGACGTGATATTCAAGTAGCTTGCATTGGTGTTCATAAATATCCTGCGTTTACTAAAGGATCTTTTTCACAAAAATTACATTCAGATTGTATACGTTATATCTGCTCTGAATGTTTTCAGCAACACGATGAACATCTGTATAAAAGACCAGGTAAACAAAAAGCAGCTATGGTATTTATGTCATGTACTGAACTTAAGAAGCATCACAATGATACAAGTGATACTCTAAAACTTATCAAAAAATGGTTAATATCAGTAGCAAAATTAGATAATCGAGAGCTACAACAAAGACTTTTATCCAAGATATTTTCATCTATCATTAATAATACAATGACAAACTTATTAGAAATTCTAAGCAAGCTAGTTGTTGAAATAGCAATAAGAATAAAGAATATTAAATTGAATAACTTAACTAAAGAAAAGCTTTGTATAACTCCAGTAAAGGCTTCAATAATGGGAGAAAGATTAGGAAGAGAAGTTTTACGTTCATACTCTGAAATTAAAGACAATATTGATCATTTAGAAAATCCAAGCTCATATGAAAACTATTTTGATGCGTTGCCTAATGTTATCTGTTGCTTCTTTCAAGAACTCCTTATGGTACTCCATTAACATAAACTAAAGATCGTTAATACTAAAATACTTCAATGAGAGCTTCCCCCAAAATCACATAACACAAATCAAATATCAAAAACTATCACTTTGATGACTTCTATGCTACTTACTATTGCTTTTCCTCAGAAAAAAATCTGGCTTTCACACATCATATTATCATTATACTAGAAGCCCAATTTACTACCACACCTATGAGAGATTCTTCATTCTGCATCTATTATTTCATATACTAAGCGACATGAAAATTGACTCGAAAGATTTAGGATACTAAATGCAGATCCTAGAAAAAATCTAATCGAAGAACCAAATATTTCGAATCTAGCAGTAATCGATAATATTGATTTCAAGGCTTTCACATTTTTATATGGAAATATTTTTGATATTACTAGAGGAGCTTCTCATACAACACTAAGGATAGTTTTTCAATTTACTTTACCTACCTCATTTGATTTATATAGTGATCAAGAAGTTATCAATTAACCACTATTTAGAGAATCTCCAACTACCAACAACCTTTTAACAATGTACGAAACTATTTTTAATAGAATGTTAGAAACTCACATAAACGACTTTGATATGGAAGATGTATATTCAGAAATTATTAAACAAATACCCATTGGTTGCAATATATCACCACTGAATATTGTAATATTGAAATCTAGTAATTCATCTAATTGTAATGATAATTTTGTAATTAGAGACCAAAGTGAATGTTTGCATGATTTAATTACACGTTTACTTTGAATTAACACAATATTATCAATATATTCTGCAAGAAGTATTGATAAACGATTTTCTTCACTCTGAATTGCTTAAATTTTTAACATCATAGTCTGCTGATCGATAAGATTACCAGTGATATTTTGTTTAGTATATTTCACACTATATGTTTTAAGCACTTCATCAAAAGCAAGATAGTAGTTTTCTCTTGTAAGATTTACTTAGCATAGCATTTGTAGTAAATTTTGTAGCTGTGGATCATCATGGACTTGAGCCAAGAAATGCGCTATGGAGCTTGCATACTTAAACTTTCTAGCTGCAGGAAAAAAGATGCAAATGCAGCTAAATTTACTATTTGCATCTTATAATTTTTTCTTCTAATTCTAATTTTATGGCCTATAAAATATCCCTTCTAGCAAAAAAAGAGAAGCTACACTTTTATTACGTTAT